GTGGTCTAAGAGCAAGCCAGCCTTGAGGATCAATCAGCACAGAAGCTGTTTTCCTTTCAGACTTTCTCTCTTTAATTGAAGCTGGTCATATGCCCCCCTCTGTATACCTTACACAGAGCAAAGGACTCCCCCCCAACCCTCATGTAACACCACTCAGGCCTGGCAGTTGGCCACCCAGGCTCACAGCTCTACATTGTGGAGCAAGGGGAGTGGGGCACATGCTTCCCTATGCATGATGTGCAGGGTATTTTAGTACTCCAGGAAATATGTGGGGGAACTAATGATAGGAAAGTATAAACATGGTGGTGGGGTAGGGGGTGGGTTGACACAGACAGGTTCACTTTTAAGAACATCTAAAGTAGGAGTGGCCAGCCCTCCTGTTGTGCTTTAACTTCAGATACCAACATGCCTCTGGGAGTCATGCCTGTAACTGTCAGTCTTGAAATGCCGCATGGGACTTGTTGTTCCACAATAGCTGAAGAACCGGAGTTGCCCACCCCTGATTTAAAGGCTCTTGAGAGACAGTCTAAAAACAGGTCCTAAGTCCAGTAACTATGCTGCACATGCTTTACAAAGTAACCAAAAACAATTCCTATACTTTCCCTGTGTGGAAAAAAATCCTCTTTCATTGCCTAACTTGCTCTCCTTCCCAGACACTGCAGCTCATAATGGGAGTTTTTCAGCGGCAGAGGCAGTACAGTCAACCCAAAGAGCTACAGTTGAATCAGCAGAGACAGTGCTGCAACCCCTGCAACAAAAACCTTTTGGCTTTAGTTCTACTTGAACACAACGTAGATGGTAGAGCTGTTTTCCTGTTTAGGGTTAGGTCCATTTATGTGCTGCTGCTGCAGCTTGATGAATCAGGGCCTCTGGGGCTTTGGTGGAGAAGTACATTTAATATACTTGGGCACAACTGCCCACTAAAATGACACTTCTTGGAATATTTTGTACATGAATGCTGTGTGAGTAGGAACCCTGCATATATACTATAGATAGTAATTTTTATTTTTTATTCTTACAGATCGAATGCATAGTGGCTGCTGAAATAATGCAAAAATATAAGAAATTACAGTTCGAAAGAGGTAAATAAGACTAGCAATATTATATGTGTGGTATTACTCAGTAGGAGTTTTGGGGTACTCTAATTTATTTTCTAAAAGGTCCCCCGCTGCGTGCCCACAAACTAAATAATGCACATGACCCTCAATGCACCACAACACATACACCAGTGTTGTGGTGCGCTGTGTTGGGAAAAAGGGGTCGGCAGCATTTTCTGGTGTGTGGATGCGTACTGAGGATCCAGAGAAAATGGATGGGCACAAGTCACACACGTATCTTAACACACACCAACATATCAAGTGGGAGGGTACAACATACACTGCAATGCAGGAACATAAGTTGTGAACTAGCCTTTAAAAGGGTTTTCCAGCAAAATTGAAATAAATCTGTCTGTCCCTTTGTCCCCTCACTGCTAAATTTAAAGCATATAAAGTGGCTTTCAAAAGTATTCACCCCCTTGGCATTTTTCCTATTTTGTTGCTTTACCACCAAAAATTAAAATAGATTTTTTGTGTGTTTGTATCATCTGATTTACACAACATGCCTACCACTTTGAAGATGCAAAATATTTTTTTTTATTGTGATGCAGACAAGAAATAAGACAAACAACCCCCAGAAAACTTGAGCGTGCATAACTATTCACCCCCTCCCCCAACCCAAAGGCAATATTTTGTAGAGCCACCCTTAGCAGCAAATTCAGCTGCAGGTCTCTTGTGATATGTCTCTATCTAGTCACTGGGATTTTTGCCCATTCGTCAAGACAAAACTGCTTCAAGTTGGATGGGTTTACTGGTGTACAGCAACCTTTAAGTCATGCCACAGTTTCTCAAATGGATTGAGGTCTGGGCTTTGACTAGACTATTCCAAGACATTTAAATGTTTCCCCTTAAACCACTCGAGTGTTGCTTTAGCAGTATGCTTAGGGTCATTGTCCTGCTTTATAGGTGAACCTCCGTCCCATTGTGTTGCCCGGAGTGGCCGCCGGGTGACACCCTTCTGAGACGTCATCACGCATGCACGTGATGACGTCATGCACAATTACCTGCCAGCGACCATCTAGGTGATGGACGCCGGCAAAAAGAGGAGAGGACATTCACCCAGTGGGATAAAGTATGCTGCTGGGTCCCCTCCTCTCTCGTGTAAATATCGGGCTCGCTATCCATGGCCGAGTGCCCAGTTTTTTAGAGGGGGTGACACCAAAATGACTGTCAATCATTTTGGTGTCACCCCCTCCGATGGTGTCTCCCGGTGTAGGCCGCACGCCCCTGTGACGCCACTGGAAATAAAGTCTATGCAAAAAGATGTAATGAGCCTTGCACGATCCCATATATCATGAACTAAAGTCTTCAATTCAGCTGTAGGTGGATTCTGAGACTAAAGTTCCCATGATCAGGAAAATGAAAGAGCCAAAGATGATAAGCAGATGATAAATGTTATTAGGTTCTTTATAGTCTCCATTCTTCTGGATGTTTCCTTCACAGAAGAGCAAGACTCCCAGACTAATTCAATAAAACGATCAGTCAGAATCCATTGTTTCCTATAGATTGCTGTGGTCACTTTGTGCTTTGCTCCATGCATTGTTCATAGATATATGTTTAATTTCTTATGATGATGTGCTTTCCATAGAAGTCTTCACTGATTACAGATAAGGTGGCAGCTTTCAGGCTGTCAAAGCTGAGAAGTCACATTGCAAGGAGCAAAACTGGTGTAAAAATGCATTACATCATAGCAATCAATCAGTCAATCAGATTTCTGATGGCTGATTATCAGTGCTGAACAATGCATTCTGATTGCCTTCTATGGTTTCTGCACTTTAGAAAAGTGATACAAGAGATACAATGTAAAAAATTCTAGAGAAGGCTGGAGGGAATTAGCAGATACATATAAGTGAATCCTGAATTATAACTGAAAAGTTTCAATGGTTGCATTCATCTGCTAATTCCCTCCAATGTTCTCTAAACTTATTTTATTTCCTATGATCCTCAGCTCCATCTAGTGGTCATAATGCAGTATTTTCCTGATTCACGGCTTCCCATAGTATTTGAAGAACATTTGACCAGAAGAGAAAATAGCCTAAATGTAATATTTAGGCGGCTTTAAAGTCAGAGTAGGGGTATTGAGAGTGACTTTACCCAATACCCAAAGCACGTGTTCCCTTAGAACAGCCTATCTCAACTAGGGTGCCATGGCATTCTGGGGTGCCTTTTAGCTTTCTCTAGGATGTAGGGATGCACCGATACGGATACTAGTAACAGTAACTGTGCCAATGCCTAGTATTTGAGCGAGTACTTGTAGTCGCCCAAATGCTCCAATACTTACCTCCGATACCGGAACTTCCGGTCAGAGGGAGATCTCCCTGTAAACGGCAGTGCCGAGGGAGCTTGGTGTCGACTTCTTTCCAATCAGGAAGCCGGGAGGTGGGTTTTGACCTGCCTCTCGGTTTCCAGATTGACTAGGAAGCTGGCTTCACTTGTTGCTAGGCTGACTGTCTTCCTAATCAATCAGTAAGCTGGGTGGCATGTAATGACCCATCTCCTGGTTTCCTGATTGGTCAGGAAGCCAGGCTGCCTAGGAACGAGTGAAGCCAGCTTCCTAGCCAATAAGGAAACCAGGAGGCGGGTCATGATGTGCCGCCCGGCTTCTTGATTGACTAGGAAGCCAGCTTCACTTGTTGGTATCAGCCTGGCAATCAGGAAGCTGAGCGGCACGTCATGACTCGCGTCCCAGCTTCCTGATTGGTCAGGAAGCCACGCTGCCCAGCAACAACTGAAGCTTTGTGAATTTTTGTATGATCGGCACACATTTTTACAAGTGCAAAAATACATGTCATGCTTTCTGCAGTTGGGGCGCCATTACTAGGTAATGGCACCGCAAATGCGACATGCGTTTTGTGAATGCACACAAAATTGTGTTATTTTGCACATGTAGCGAGTGCGAGTAAGGCGTTAAAGCAGAGCTCTGGGGAAATCAAATCTTAACCCTTGCAGTGGGTCTACCCCTGCACTGCAAGGGTTAAGTGCTCATTTTGTCTAGGGAGCTAAAATAACAGAGATATACTCATCCAAACCACAACCCTGGCTTACCCTGAGACCGGTCTTTTTAGCCTTCCGCTCTAGCAGTCTAAGGTCCTGTGAGTCATCATGTCCAATACAGTGTGTATTGGACATAAGGATGCTGGAGGGGGGGAGGAGACAGGCTGGAGGGAGCGGTCTAAGTACAAGCTGGAATCTTGGTTCAGGCAAGTATATCTTTGTTATTTAGCTCTATAGACATACCGCACACTTAAAGGAGAACTATGGGGTTAAGTCTTTTCCCCATAGTTCTCCTTAGGGTAACGGGAGGACACAAACTAGCGTCCTCCCGTCACCCTAGACTCAGTATACCGCGAGCTGTAGCTCGCGGTATACTGAGACGCCGCAGCTGAAGCGGATCCCGACAATTGTGCCGGGATCCGCCCAGCTGCGTGACGGACAGCTGGCTCTGCCTATCTAAAGGCAGAGCCAGCTGTACCCGACCCCTCCCCCATCCGTTCTGCCAGTCAGCGCTGGCGGATCGGAGCAGGGAGGGGGGTATCCAGCCCCTCCCCTGTCACGGCAGAGAGCCGTGACAGGATTGAGAGGTTAGCGAACGCCGGTATGTGTTGGCTCACCTCCCGATCCACTGAGCCGACCTGCGACAGTCTCATTGTCACAGGTCGGCTAGAACTATGAGGTGAGTGAAAAGCACTCACTTCATAGTTCTCCTTTAACCCTTGCAGTGCAGGGGTAGCCCCACTGCAAGGGTTAGGATTTGATTTTCAGTGGACAGTCTTACTCTTTATAGCTTGTAGTATTGCAGAAACTGGAGTGTTTAGGATGCCATTGCATGCTGTAAAGGTTGCCTTATGTCATTTCCAAGCCGAGCTGTCAATATTTTAAATTAAACTTCATCTTAAAAGGATTTTATAACTGTCTTTCCAGTTTGGCTGAGATCAAAGATCGGAAATAAAAGCACCTCAATGTATCTTCTTAATCACTGCACTAATCCTTCACTTTGCTGCTCCGTCCTTTTATCTTCATATGGAACCTGAATAATTAAAACTACGGCTTCTCCTAGATGAAAACACCCCTAATTTCAATACCTTTATTTAAAAAAAAAAAGGTTAAATAATTAACTGGGCAATTACTGCTACTATCCAGCTGCATTTATCATAAATGCTTTTCATTTGGAGCTGTCAGTGTGCAGACGCATTCTGAATCAACTATGTGATTTTATCTTTGACTCGGATGGAAAATTACATTGCTATCCATAAACAAGTTGATATATACACAGTACTGGAAATGATAATAATCCAACCGTGGGGAAATAACTATTTTTTCTGTACGCTGTCATTGCTTTCAGGACAAATTACCATTTAACTAAAACTTCAGTTTCACAACAATTCATTTCACATTTCTGATTGCTATACATTGCATTTTGTTCTGAAACTTTGGTACAAATGACTTTACTAATTTAGTTTAGAATCAGTAATGACTTTGCGCAAGTGACAAAAAATGACTGCTAGTTGCAACCTTTAGGTTTAGCGGTAGCGTTTGCCACGTGGAAAAGCGTGCAGAACGAAAACCACGCAAACGTTAACATATGCGTGGATTCCGCACGTTTGCGGCTATTACTATAGCTGGAAAGTGCGGAATCCACCCATAAAATCGCGCTTGGACTAATATGCCAGACGTGCGGTTTCGTACAGCACGGACACCGCAATAGTCTGAACAATGCACACTGCAATGGATTGTTTTTTATAAGGATGCACTGATATATCGGCTGCCGAAACAATGCCGAAAGTGCCATTTTCTGGCCGATATAGCGGTGCACACGCTCTTTCTCTCCTCCCCGCTGGGCGCTGCTCTGTATCCCAGTGGGGAGGAGATAAACTGTCACAGGCAGCCAAGTGCGGCGGGAGGAGATCGCTGTGAGCGGCCAGCGTCTCTCCTCCCCGCACCGCTCAGCCCCTGTCACAGATCGGGAGAGTGGTGTGGGGGTGGAGACAGCCAGCACTATCACAGCAGGCTGAGCTCTGCTCGCTCAGCCTCCTGTGACAGCTGTCAGGATGGAGAGCGGGTACAAGCAGTAAGTGATCAGTGATCGCTGAGTGTTTGTAAATAACTGTGGACAGAGTATGGTTACTGTATCCTCAATTATGAATGAATGGGAAGTGATCTACATCATCCTGTTCATTCATAATTGTGGTTATAGTAAACATACTCTGTCCTCATGTTATGAGTGAACAGGAACACTCAGTATAGAGGATTCCTGTTCATTTATAACAGGGGCTGCAGAAAAAGAGATTAAGGACTCTGTGTTCTCAATCTCTTTTTCTATTTTAAAAGGTAAATATCAGGGATCTGTTTAGACCCCTAATATTTCCCCGAAGCCCCAAAAGTAAAATAAAAATATTTAATAAAAAATGAATAAATAAAAATAAATGTAAAAAAAATTAAAATGTTCATAAAAAATCAATAAAAATAAAATATTTTAAAAAATTTGAAAAAGTTAAAATAAAAAACATTTTCAGTTTCGACCTGACCTTTTTTAAAATTTCGGTTTCGTTTCGGTTTTGAAATTTTCATTTCGGTGCACCTCTGGTTTTTTATGTTTAGCTTGGTTCCATGCATATTCACATGGCCGAAATGCGAGGAAAACCGCTCATGTGTGAATGGAGCCTTAGCTTTAGTTAGGATATCCTAGAGTCCTCATCCCAGAAGTCTGTACAGAGCTTTAGGACAAATTAAAGATCTGCTGCATGAAATACGTCATCCCTGGCATGTACTTGTATTTACTGTAATGGCATTTTGGTACTTACACAAATTGTTAAATCTTAAAGAACTCCAGGCAAAATCAAAGGGGACTCAAATAAAGCAGTTTTCTCACCTGATCCTAGGTCACATGGTGTCAGCACATGCCTCTTTCCCCCTTCACTCCAGCTCTCTGGCAATGGGATGTCCCTTGGTGTCCTCACATCTAATGCAGGTCAGTGGACCTGCATAAGACGCGATGATGTCAGCGTTCCTTAGACTGCCAAAGCCCTGGGGAGAAGAGGGAGATGGTGGGACCAAGGATCAGGTGAGTAAATCTACTTTATTTGAGTCCCGTAGACATAACCAACATTTAACTCTTGCAGTGCAGGGGTTAGCCACACTGCAAGGGTACATTTTTTTTTATTTTCCCCGGAGACTGGACAAATCCTAGGAGCCAGGTAGCCAATGCTGCTTGAAACATTTCAGCTGGAGCCTAACTTTTGAAGTTTTCCCTAGTTGTTGTCAATTTTGCTGGGTCCTAAAAAAAAATCCTGCTGGCTCCTGGATTGGACAGACTGGCTCCTAAATTCCATATTAATTTGTCCACCCCTGTTTTCAGGGGGTGCAGTATTTCTTCATTTCTAAACACAGACTAGTCAAGTGAGTTTGGTGAAGGCAGATCGTCTGACTACTCATTTTAGGAAATATCTCCATAATAGAATCTTAGTATTTATACAACAGATGCAGATGAGGTTCTGCAGTAAAGTTTATTAAAACCCTTGCATTGTATTTAGTAGACTGAGGGGGACTGTTTTTCTTCTAGAGCTACCTATAAATGGCTTTGTGTTAGATTATCTTTTGTCTCTTTGGACACTAGGACATGTGGCACATCCCCATGTCAAACAATTATGGGTCACTTTTAGATCAGACAGAAGTGTCTTTCTTTCTGCACTCCAAATTTATAATGTAGAATCATGCAAGAGAAGTAATTCAATTGGCTATCCAAAGGTCACATCAGTTTCATAATAGAAATGGTATGTCACTTGATCCAACAAAACCACCCCATGTTGAAGGAATCTAACTCGTTTTTGGTACACTTGCTCTTTAAAGTGGATGCTAACCTTAGAGATACTAAACATTAAATGTCCATATAACACATATACATTGATAAATGAATAGCACCATGTTTGAATTCTTTCTGCGTTCTGGTTACCAGCCACAAAGGCCAGCCCATAGTGTCGCTTAGCCCGCCCCCATGAATGTCTTGTAATTGCAAAGCCTGACTAGGGAATGTTTTCTGTGTGTCCCGCTGCTGTCAAAAACATAGATAGCACAAGAGGAACTGAGCAACACCCTCATTTGCTCTTTTGTCGCAAGTCAACGGCAAGAAGTTTCCAATGCTGACTGCTGGACAACCGGAGAATAGACAGAAGTCAAACATGGGGCTATGAAATTATCAAGATACATGTGTTATATGACTGTATAAAGTTCATTGATGGGTTCTATGGTGAACTTCCACTTAATTGTTAGCACTGTCACATTATGAACACAAGGGCAAGTTGTACCTTGTAATCCCAGTAGTATGGCAATGTATGGGTCTCGTCTATGGGTGCTATATATTAGGAGCAGACATGATTAGATCCCACCTCTGGTTCTGTCATAAATAATAATGCTCAATTTGCTTGAATATTTGTGTAATATCAGTAAAGTTGGTGCCCGTGCTGGTTATCTGGGAGAGGTTGGGGCAGTGATGATTAGGAAAGGGTTTCTAACCTGTTTTATTGATGTTCTTCCCCAGAATGACGAGAACATTGCTAGATCTGGCTTGATTTGGTGAAACTGTTCTCATGTCTGTGGGCTGCTGGTTAGGCCCTCAGCTGTATAGATGATTGATAGCTGATTAGTATTATGTCATTAAAGCTGAATTCCAGGCAGAAAAAAACAACACATTTAATACAGGTTTTTGTTTTCAGTAATAACATGAATTGTAAAACTGCCAGCCTTCAGCAATCTGCTGTATAGCAGATTGGGATGGGGGTTGGCACTCTACATGTGCTGCTGCTCCTTTATAGCCTTGGAGTGGGACCTGGACCAGGCTGAATATTATAACTGCAATATAGTCTGTATTTTTTTCGTTATTTTATCAGGTTTTGTAAAAAAATAAGTTTTGTTGTTTATAATATTCTAGAAGTTCTCCTGGACCCATGTAGGACTTGGTGCCCATCATCTTCCTGCCAGGCAGTATGCAAACTACAGGAGAAAGGGCCCCAGAATGCACAGCTGGTACAGTGCACTTCCTGCGACATCGAGTTCTGCTCATCATGTAAAGCCAATTGGCACCCAGGACAAGTTTGTCAAGAAAACTTGCCAATCACTTTTCTTCCGGGAGAATCAAGGTACTACTCCCTTCTTATATTATGTCTGTCATACACTGAAACAAGTACAAAAATTATTTATAACATGACAACACTTAAGTCTCTCCCTCCCTCCCTCTCTCCCTCCCTCCCTCCCTCCCTCTCTCTCTCTCTCTCCCTCTCTCTCATCACAGGTCTTCTTCATTCTGAAGTAGCCAAAAGCTTCTTATTGAACAAGCTTATATAGAATGCTATTTTCAGTTGGGTCAATCTTCGGCCTTTTGGTCATATCTATGTATTCAGATTGAGGTTCCTAGCATGCAGCTATGAATGGACTGCAGTTGTGCTGGGCTATTTACTGGCAAAGCTAAAGCTACTGCCAGGTGTAGTTAGCAGCAAAACATTCATAGGGACACTGCTTTCGAACAAGAAAACTTGGTCAGGTATGACAGACAATAGTAGGTTAGAGGGAAGAATTAATTTAATTTTCTGCTAAGATTTCACTAAGACTGTCTCTGATGCTTCCAAAAATCATTGAATGGTGTTTACATCGTAACCAGCACTAGAAAATAGCAGTGATCTAATTGGTTTCTATGGGCAACACCTCTGCACCCATTATCAAAAAAGTACATCAGAGTTTCCAAGGAGACAGAGGAGCTGCGACACAGAAGCTTAATGAGCTTCTCAATCCTAATTGTCCTTTTACCCGAGAAGAAAACAATAATGTTGACAATGTTCCCCTTTCATACATTTGTGGGCTATTCTTTTCGAGATCTTTTCATTTTGCTAATAATAGATGGCCTCTGAATCTAAAGAGAGTGGCTGAATACAAATGCAGGGATATGACCAACCATCATAAATGGCTTCCTAAACTTCAGATATCCCCTCCTCTTAAAGGAAGCCTGTACTGAAAGAAATACATTGGCTGCTCTTCCTAACCTTCCTCTAAGAATACTAATTTCCTGGCTGTCTCTGACTTTAATGTTTTCTGCACTGCTAACTTAGTATAATATTACAGATTAGAAAGGCAGGGTAAAGACAGGACTCCTGTATGCTTTTTTTTTTTTTTACCATATGATTTTTTATTGGTTTGTAAATAGAAAAGGGAATTTCCAATACAGTACAATACAACACAACATATCACATAGTGCAATTACAGAAATGTTGAGAAGTTGACATGTTTATACAGGGATGACGATTAATTTGATAGCTCCGATTAGCAGTAAATACCATAATATAACATCTTTTTGAAGATTTATGGGCGGTATGGATGTGCATCTGACTAGCAATAGTAATTGTTACATCTCTTGTATATATTCCTATAGTCTAGCATAGACGTACTGTGTTTGTTTATCAGTATGAGTGTGTAGGAGACTTCGACATCACTCTCCGTGTCGTGAACTCTATAGGTGGAGCACAGGACTCCATTTCCGGAAGGATCTTTGTCACATTAATGTAAATGAAGTTATCAGGCAGTCTGCCTAGGTTTTTCATTGAGGCAGTACGCCTTTAGGGCGTCTTTGTGCGTCCAATGTTGGTTGGCACCATTCAAGACTAAGAGACAACACAATAAGGGAAGAGGAGGGAACTGGAAAAAAGAGGAGGGGAGGTAAGTCTAGTGGGAAGGGAGTAAGAAGGGGAAGAGAGGAATTTGAGCTGCACGTAGGCTTAGGAGCGTTATTTAGTCAGAGAGGATCGTGAGAGTAAATTATATTGTACAGAGTCGGCGTGTGGCGGCTGAGGCAAAAAATTTGTCGATCCAAGGAGACCAGGTTTTTTCAAATTTGTCCATATGGTCATTAAGTTGTGCTGTTTGTTTTTCATGAGCCATAACCCAATTGATATGATTAATTACATTAGGGATGCTAAGGGGCTTCGTTAGCCAATTTTTAGCTATGTCTCTCTTTGCAGATGTGCATATATGCATCCTGTATGCTTTTTTACAGGTCTTTGCCACAGAAGGTATTAAAGATATTGGGAGTATAACTATAGCACATGGTAGTAGTTGGACAGTTCACAACTGCACATAGGAAGTCTCTAATGAAGGAGGGCAAAGCACAGGGTGGGGTCTGTAAGCTTCCACTGGATGGGGCCCTCTAATCTAAAGTGTTAAAATATTTCTGTATCTAAAAGATTATTTGGGACCATACAGTTATATACGATACAGTTTTCTGTTTAGGGTAGGCAAATATTGGTAAGGCTAGTCCGGCTTATTGCCTTGATGAACCTACTTATCTTCCTATATTACTTTTATGTTAAGTATCACAAGCCATGTTTTAATTCTGCTAACAATGTCCACATCTGACATCAGTGACTGTCAAGAGCACACTCTCAGGGCAGTTATAAGACAAACCTTGCCATGATAGAGAAGTGTAACTCTGAAGGAAAAGCTATTATTATTATTATTTAATACATTTTTTTATTATTATTTTTTTATCTGGGGGTGATACGAGCCTTAGAGACCCTAAAGTGTATGTTAAGCCAAAGGTTTTTCTCCACTTTTGGTTAGAGCAGGGAAGGATTATCTGGGGCTCCACTAGAGAGAATTACCCTCACTTCCTGTTCTGCTGATGATGGTTTCACCAGAGAGGTGAGAGAAAATCTGCAGCAGTGACAAAGACAGAAGTAAAAATCTGCTAAGGGTTCTGGCCTTCCCGCTACAATAGAAGCTTGAGCCTTTATTTTTTTTCCAGTGAGGCACCACATCTGTGTATGGCGAGTAAGACCTCTTTACGTATAGCCTGTCACATAGATTAGAGAATTGTGGTGATGTATGGGAAGCCTAGTTGTCTGTAGCTTCAATAGGCCCATGTAGAAGCAGTGAACTTGCCATAGTGCAGGCATAGTGTGGTGTGCCAGAGAAGGCTTCGAATTAGTAGCAGTGGTGGTGGAGTCACAGGATGGGTCTTTAACTGGTGTCCTATCCAACTGCTTCAGTGTGTTCAGCAGCATTTGTGGCCTGCTCAAGATGTGTAGGTGGTCCCATTATGTTTGTCGTAGAAACCAAAATCCTCTTTTATGATCCTGAATCTGTACAATGAAGGTTGGTACAGGTGTCAGCAGGTTATAAGCAGCCTCACAAGCCTTGTTTCTGGACCCCTTTGGTGAGGATCCTTATTTTCCTATGATAGTATGGTTGTGGCAATCATCAATTCACTACAGCACCCTGCATGAACGGTGGGTAAGGTTGGAAACTATGCAACAGATACAGTACAATTCGTAGCCAGTGGCGATTGCAGGTCTGTGTTCAGAAAAGACCCAGAGAAAAGGATATTGTTAGGATCATTGGCAGGAGCCCCAAGAATCATATCTGCTCACATGCCCAACTTGGCTATGCCTCCGTTATTATTATAATTACATAGTCCTTGGATTGGTTTTTAATGCATCTGCATTATGGAAAATCCTTATTCTAAATGTTTGTTCCACCTTTTTCCTCATACTTAAAAAAAAATGGCCATTTAAAATGTGACAAAAAGAATCTTATTATTGGAGTCAACAGCTCTGTTTCTACCCCAATGTGCAGTTGATAGGGGATAATTTAATATGAGTTTTAACACCTCTGATTACTGCATATTGAGATGTTTATATACAGCATTTTATTTGCTTCAGTCTGAGCTCTTCCTCTTTTAGCTCTGCACAGAAAACAGTGGAAGATGACGTACCGATCAAACGTTGTCCTAAATGTAAAGTCTACATAGAACGGGATGAAGGCTGCGCACAGATGATGTGTAAGAACTGCAAGCACGCCTTCTGCTGGTACTGCCTGGAGTCTCTGGATGTCAGTATACATTTCCTCTACACTTCTCACATCTCAACGTAGCTATAAATAGAATTATGCAGAGCTCTTTATTATAAGTTATTTCTTCTTTTATACAGGATGACTTCCTGCTCATACATTACGATAAAGGACCATGTCGGAACAAATTAGGTCATTCTCGGGCGTCCGTCATATGGCACAGAACACAGGTTTGTGAACATGTTGACTGGTACTCAGTTAGTTGTAAACATGATTAAAGTATTTTGATGGGCTAGATTAAAGAAGGACTCCGGGCTAACCTGCACTGCAAGAGTTAGGTGCTTGTTTTGCCTAGGGGGCTCAAATAAAGCTGCATTACTCATCTGATCCTCGGTCCCCTTGTGGTCAGCGCTCACCTCTTTCCCACTCTGCATTGGCTATGAAATGGCCCTTAGGTTCAGTGGCGGAACTATCGCCATAGTGACCCAGGCGGCCGCTATGGGGCCCGGGGCACAGGGTGGCCCGGCCAGGACAAGGAACAAAGAGGTCCCTCTGATACCGTGTGGGCCGCCTGGGTCACTGGCGGCTGTGAGGAGGAATACGCCACTGTTCAGATCACTGACAACCTGTCAGTGATCTGTGCAGCAGTGCGTTCCTCCTCACAGCCACTGCTGAGTCAGTGACAGCCAGCACCTGCGGAGGAGGAGGAGGAGGTGGGGACGAGACGTCGGTGGAGGAGGAGGCGGGCCCAGCGGTGGAGGAGGCTGACAGCAGATCGGGGCTGACAGGTAAGAGGTGTGCAGGGATGTGACCAGCCCACCTGAGACCCTGCAGAGCCCACCATAGAGAGTATATGGTTAGCTCTGCATGGGGCGCTCTCAGGTGGGCTGTTTGGGATCTCAGGTGGCTCTGCAAGGGGCATAGCTAGAAATCACAGGGCCCCATACAAAATTTTGCTATGGGGCCCTGTGATTTCTAGTTACGCCCCTGCTTAGGGTCCTCATGTCTAATGCAGGTCAGTGGACCTGCATAAGAGGTGATGACGTCAGACTGCCGAAGCCCAGGGCAAAGAGGCTGCGAGGACTGGTCTAGCAACCCTGAGGGAGCTGGCAGCACTTAGGATCATGTCCTGCCAGCTTTATTTTTTACCCCATAGACAAAATGAGCTCTCAAAGGGTAGCCCAATTGCAAGGGTAAGTTTCTTGTTTGCCCAGAGTTATTTTTCAAGTTAAAAAGCTGTGAGAATGGTAAAATGTCATTCCACACAAAATGTCACTTTTAGGTCGATGCTGGTGAGCTGCATCAATCACTATTTTTAGTTTGCCATGGACACCTATAGTAAGTTCTCTATTGGACTTTTCTGTCTGTCTCCAGTTATTACACAGCCTTACATCTCCTACTATAATAATAATTGATAATAATTGAAAAAGGGACCTTCTTCTGACAATGATAGCAGGACTGGTTTATTATGACCATAGTGGGATACTCTTGTAGCAGCCATAGCAAGTTAGCAGACACAGAGATCGCCCTAAGTGATGTAGGACACCACTGTATGACTTGTTCTGCAAGCATCTTCCCAAATATTTGGGTTTACTGACCCTTTAATGAGTAACAAGAGCCCACGTAGCCTGGCCAAAACAAAAGTCACCACCTGGATTTAGCTAAGCAAATAAGTAAGAGCTATAATGGTTGGTTCAGTTGGTCAGGTTCAGCAACTTTATGTGCCCCAAAATTGAGGTCTGCTGCCTACCTGAATACACTGAATGACCAGGTTTTTCAGTCAATGTATTTTTCCATTTTCTTCCATGATGACACATTGGGCATATTCCATGATGAGACATCTCTTTCCCACATGGATTGGCCACCACACAGTCTAGACCAGGGGTAGCAAACCTCCGGCCCTCCAGCTGTGGTGAAACTACAAATCCCATGATGCATCTCTCCTCGGGAGTCATGTCTGTGGCTGTGAGAATCTTGCAATGCCTCATGGGATTTGTAGTTCCACCACAGCTGGAGGGCCGGAGGTTTGCTACCCCTGGTCTAGACCTTAACCTTATAGAGAATCTTTGGAATGTGCAGAAGAAGATGTTACTCAGTGGTCCGACTCTCCCATCATCACCTTGATGAAAAATTAATACAACTCTAGATGGAAGTAAATGTTGTGACATTGCATAAGCTGATCGAAGTGATACCACAGAGAATGTGTGCCATAATCAAAGCTGAAGGCAGCCCAACTAAATATTAGATTATGGGACTTTTTTTGGACCAGGCAGTGTATTATCCATTTAAGGACCTAGGATGTACCTTGTACGCTCTTGAGTCCTTCCTGTTGTATGCAAGCCCACAAATGTAAACGCTTAGCCATACTGAAAATATGACAGCCGATGTCACAATCCCTGAAATTCATAAAGGGTGTCCTAGATACTCTTTAAAAATGGTGGAACATCTGACACTTGATTGTATGTGTCATTAAGGTGTATATCAATCTGCCACAGTTCTAACAGGACTGTTCCAAGACTCTCTCCTTCGTGTTTAGTTTTAGTACTTGGAGTAGTTGGCAGAGTAATAGAAATGTATCAAATATAAGTTCAAGAGCAACTTGAAGACAAATTCTCTCTTAATTGTCTCAAAGCTGCATTATATTTCTTACACATGCAATATAATGAACAATTTTCCTCCAACACAGAAGAGGTCTTATTTACCTCCACTCTCCTTATCACTAATATGGTGGTTTTTGTCACAACAGCGCCATACAGTCAAAATGATGCAAATACTTGAATTTGTTGCATGCGTCAGTACTAATAATAAAAATGTCATAGGGTTTCTATAAATTTGGAGCAAAGCTTCCAACTACATACAGACCACAAGAAATGTATCACAAATGCCTTATTAAATCGCCCTTCAGTATAAAACTGTTGCACGTTCTCTCTGAGCTTGCATGAGTTTCCTGCCCAATCCATAGGTGGTAGGTTAATTGGCTCCTGGCTAAACTGGCCCTAGGATGTGTGCATATAAGATTGGGACCTTAGATTGCAAGCTCCTTGAGGGCAGGGACTGATGGGACCGATTTTAAATACCTAAAATGAATAAATTCATCTCCTGCCAGCCAGCGCCATCTAGTGCTGAAAGCTCAAAATGTGCACTGTAATTGTTTTTCAATGTTTTATGCACTCAACCCTATATGATATATATTTTTTTCTCTGCAGGTGGTTGGAATATTTGCAGGATTTGGTCTTTTGCTGTTAGTAGCCTCACCTTTCCTCTTACTGGCCACTCCTTTTGTCCTGTGCTGCAAATGTAAATGCAGTAAAGGGGACGATGACCCCCTGCCAACTTAATCATAGGGAGAATAAAAATTGCAAAGTACACCTTTCCTGTGCACTGTTGGAGGCTATGGTACAAGTGGGATACAACGTAGCTTGACCAGCTCCCCTGGCATTCAGAGACACATTCAGAGAGTGTTTGTCATACGAAAATCATGATAACCACATCATCTAGGAGATAGGAGGATCGGATCGCACAATGTACAGAAGACATACATCATCAACTTGTGTCATAAATATGTGTTCTGACGGTTGATTTTAAAACTTTTATGCAAGTTGTTCTATTTTTTTTTTTTTAATTCTTTCCAGTTAATCATCATCATCATCATCATCATCCCTAATACTTATTTTACGGCATTCCTTGTTTCTTAGAGGATTTTTTATATATTTTTTTTTGTTATAGAATGCTGCATATTTCTTATGCATTGTTCTGAAAGGAATTGTTTTTTTGCTGTAGATTAATGTTCTTTTATATTCGAGGGTACCACAGAGAACTGAGCCTCTAATTGTTGCTGAAATAACAGTAGTCCAAATTGACCAAAGTGTGAATGATCTAAAAAAAAAAGTAAAACATGTAAAGAGATGCTATGCTTAGTTTTTATTGTTTGCTGTTTATATGCATTTGTACATTATAGATGTTTAATACATACATTGATTGCTAATTTTTCTGTCAACATGGTTTGGTGTCCAGATTTGGGGCTTGCGTTGATGGCATCAGTTTGAGATGCTTCTGAGATCACTCATGGACAAGTGAATTTAACCTGTAGTGCAGAGCTGTCCCTATAATAAGGCAACCAGCATATTGTAGGATTACGTGGGGGGGAGTGTAAGGGGGTGGCAGGGTGAGTGGCATGGCAGCTCTACTGCACAATGTTTACAGTGTGCCTGCCACCCCCTTTCCCTCTAGAGCATCTCGGATTGCTGAGAGCCAGGCGGGGAGATGTGTAAGAGCCATGCACATTTCCTAGCCCAGCTCTTAGCAACTTGGTACCCTCTGGCTGGCATCCCGCTAGCTCCTGGCAACAAGTGATGTCACTGGTTGCCAGGAGCTGGGCGGGACACCGGCCAGAGTGGTGCTATTACTCCCCCATGTGTGGCTGGTGGCGTCACACTCCCCTGCAACCTGCCCTTTCTATCCGGCCTTAGGCGAGATTGGGACGCCCCTCCTGTAGTGGACTTCCTTCTGATCTACATTTGATCTGCTGATCTGATCTTAAGCTGGTTTTGTATTACCATAGACCTGTGTGGAATGGTAAAACCCGCTTGAAGCGAACAAAAACCCATCAACACAAACTATAATAATGACCGGGTAGAAAATGCATAGTTTAGATGGAGGTCTCCTTTGACTCCCAGCACAACCTGACAAGCTTGGCTTTTCAGCAGAGCTACTGCTGTCACTGATAATGAGTTCTCCTTATATGTTTATATAAAATACACTGGTGGGCAGGTGACTGATTTTTTTTTGTGTCCTGCAACTTCTAGTGAATTCTATATAAGACAATATGAAGAATTGTGTTGGCCACTGGCAAGCTGAATGTGGCAGTTCACAGCCTGGCTGGGGATAGATTAATAATCTCCAAGAAGACCTGGATAGCAGTGATGATTGTGCATGGGATTGAGCCCTGCTTTATTACAACCATAGAGAGTTAGGCTGGCCACACACATATAGCTTAGTGGGCTGAATCAGAGAAAACTGCTCAGTTCTCACTATCCTGCTACACAGTGTGCATGGAGGAATGCGCCCCACTGGCTGTCACAATACCCAATGGTGATTGTAGCTGATTGGCTGCTGTTAGTGTTTGGCCCACAGTTTTTCCCCTGGCTCCTTTGATGTTCCAATTGACATTTGTCGAGCCAGGTGGTTCTGGCAGTGCCACCCACGGTTAGAATTTCAGCCAATTCCTATTAAATTATAACCGTGTGTGGCCAACTTTACTTTTGAAATAATGAATCAAGTGTACTACCAACACCTAAAGCATTGTCAAGAGCAGCGGTAGCCAAATTCCAGCCCATGAGGCATTGCGAGACTTTGACAGCCACAGGCATGACTCCCAGCGGCAGTTGCATGATAGGATTGGTAGTGTCAGCACAGCTGGAGGGCTTAAGTTTGGATACCCCGGTCTTGAGGCTCTTATGATGTATTATAGTAACTAGAACTGCTCAGAGTACCCAATGAAAAAGCTTTTTTTTCAAAGTGCAGTCTGACTAAATGTAATGAATATCTGCAGCTCTATGCCACCCCCTTGCTCTATATAGGTATTTTGGGAAAATTCATAGCATTCACTGCACATTGATGATCACCTATAACTATTATCACTGCCAACTTCATACTTATACTCATCTAAAGTGAACATGTTACAGTTGTTGGTCTGGGGGGAATATAAGAAGCAGTACATTCAGGCAAATGGGGAACATCAATCCCCTTCTGAGTGGTGATCATGGTGGGGATCACACAAATAGAAGACAGCACTACAAGGTCACATGGCCATGGATATCAAGCACCGAAAGTCTCTGCATAGTAAGCTCACTGTCATTGTTCACTACGTAGTTGCTTTCTGAGCTGATCTTGGGATTTTTAAGCCAGGGAAGGAGAAAATGGAAGCACTGTTGGTGGCTCAGAAGCTGACGCAGGAAGTGACAGTCCTTTTGTAGAATTGCTGGCCTGGTAGCCTTGCTTAGAACTCTCAATTTTCTGCACTTCTATAAGAACTCCTTATACAGATTGCAATACTGTGTTTGGTTGTGAGGGTAGAATGTGGTGACAGGGTCTCTTTAAAGTTTCAATGAAATTTCCAGAGTAATTTTCAATATATTTAAATCTGAAGCTTCATTAAAATAATACATGGTGATCCTGCCATAAAGGTCCTTGATCAGGTACTTTTTATTATAGGGTGACAACATTCTTTTATTGTCTCCTAATTGTGCTCCTCCGTTATCACCCTGTCAAGCAGGCTTCCAATGGAGACTACAAGTGGCCATTTCAACACACATTACACAGAGATGGTCCGCTAGTGTCACCATTGGGAGACCTGCTCTGAGAAATGTCATGCAGCCATCACTTGAATACAAAGAGGCTTTGGTAGATCAGCAGCACTGAAATGCTGAAAAAAATGGAAACAAGCATTTTATTTAAAGAAAATGACAGTTGTTTATGAAATGCAGGGCTTTAGCAAACTAGAAGTCATACAGTTAGCCCTCGTTCACACCTGAACGTTTTGTAGCGCGTTCTACGCTCGACGAACGCTCTACAAAACGCTCAAAAATATAAATCCCATTGTATTCAATAATCTCGTTCCCACCTTGACGTATTTCCGCCCGTCCCTAACGCGCTACAAAACGGCCCACGCCTGAAAAGGTACAGGTACTACTTTGGGCCGTTTTGTTGCGCGTTTCCATTGGGGTACAGCCAAGTAGCCTCGGAAACGCGCGACGTTCGCGCATATGCAATACGCCTAGGTGTGAACGAGACCTTAAGGTTTACATCTACTCTAAGGTTCGGTGACTCAGAAAGTATTGAAGTCAATGGATCAGTCTTAGATCCCATTCACACCAGGGCGGTTGCGGATCAGTGCGGCTACCGCAAGGGAGGTTTGGAGAGTTTTTAATTGTGTTTCAGCGCTGAAATGCTATTAAAAACGCCCCAAACCGCACTGATCAGCGTGGTTCCATTGAAACCTGTATGGAAAACGCACGTCTCAGTGCTGAAAAAATAGCGCACGGAGCAGTTCGGGCAGGGGGTGGTTCGGATAGTAATGTATGGGATTGTTCAAGTCAGCGGATCTGCCCCAGTGTGAACGGGGCCTTATGGATGACCAGTTAACATTTTTCAGTGGGATGTCAGCAATGGCAGCCGCTGCTCTTTACTCGTGACAGGTTTACTTTAAATATAAAAGAACTGGCCTGGTAAATTATTTCCCTGATCAGCCGCCAAAGGTCATTGAGCAGCTTGAGCTAAGGGGGAGAGTGTTTCTTTCATGGAAAGTAGAGATTTGCATACAGATGGCAGCGTGGGATTCTCAGCCTACATAATGTGGACTGCCAAATATATACTTCATGTACCTGGGTCTAGTTTTATCTCAATGGGTTTTCTACAGTTTCACTTTAAAGAGACACTGTCACCATGCCCATGACAGTGTAAAACCCACCCCCTGACTCACCTCTTCAGGGCTCCCCCACTGCCCCTGGTCCTGTGACCACCACAGCAAGTGCTTCTGGGTATTGGTGAGCATGTGACCTCCTCCTTTGACGTAATGTTTGACCGGAGCATTGTTACATGATGGATGGTGTGATATCACTGCTCCCTCTGAGCTCCAACACCCGGTATTTTGGTGGAAGCTGCACTAGAAGTAGGGGCATTAGGGGTGCCGTGGATGGTGAGTATCAACTGGTGTTGAGTGGGGACGTTTTACAAAGGCACTGTAATGTTGCCCTCTAAGGACTAGATAACAATGTCTCGTTAAAGCTTAGTCTGTGCTTCCATTCTTGTTTCTGTTACAATGACATTGCAGCACTGAGAGGATGTGGAAGTCTGGGTAGTCAGGCAATGTTCAGAATCTCAGAACATTACTGTCAGTGACTTAAAGGTATTTTCTTACCTACTATATGTGTCTTGGGTGGAGGCCTTTCTGCAGATTCCAGGCTCCCCTGAGCAGTTTGAAAGTTAAAGTAGAGGGACAAACTGAGGGACAGACTGAGCCTCCTCTCATTAGCATACACTGCTTCGTTGTCCCCTCCTTAGCATTACATAGGGGGGAGGCACTGCGAGATTTTTAAGCAGGTATAAAGTACTTGAAATGTAAGCAGCAATTTTTAAGTTGTACACTAGGAATGGGAACATGGAACAAATATAAAGCAGACTTTATCCCAATTTGACTGCAAAAGTGGAAATACACTTTAACTCTGAACCACAATGTAACCTCTTTACTGCAGCCATGTATAAAACAGGCAGAGCTTAACACTGACATCCAGTAAAACAGCTGTATATACATATATACATACATACATACATACATACATACAT